GAAATAAATGGATAGCTATACAATAAGAAGAAAAATTACCTTTACTTTTGTAATAATAACAGTAATACTGGAAATAGCAACAGAAACTTAAACGGTTTAAAAAAACAATAAATTATTATTTTATGATGTTCTTCAACATTCCTTTAATCTTAAATGTTCAGCAAGAACTAAATCTCTGCCTTTGATTGTTGTATGTGGATAAAATGCAATTTTGTGACTTACTGATAGAAAACCAGTTTTAGTCATTCATTCTATGTTTTCTTTTCAACAAAAATTAAAATATAAATAACAATTCTTCTAATAATACATTTTAACTTCACGCTATTATTTAATGGTATTTTTTTTTTTATTTTGACAGAATAGGTTAAAAGTTAGTTATATTTGTATGGTTTATAAGAGGTTAATAATAAAAAGAATATAAAAAGTATAAAGAACAGGACGTATAGTAAGGAGTTTTAATAAAAAGAGCAGAGGAAAACCAGCAAGGCGAGAAACCAGAAATAAGGCAGGGGGCAGAATAATAGTATTGTAAATAGGACAGTATGGAGAAGAACATACAGACAATATGCAGACAGGGCTAAGAAGAAGAAGACGACAAACATTTTTTTATATTCTTTTAGAATCTAAATTACAATGCAGTGTGATTAGACCAAATATAGAGAGAATAGGTAAATTAATATTTGGAATTGAACATTTTATAGAAATTTCGAAGGTAATTTTAATTTTTCTTTTGCTTTCTTTATCTAAATTATTGAAAGTACGAAAGTATAAGTAAGTGAACCCAACCCAAAATTAAAATAAATTTTCATTATAAAATAAAAAATTGTATAATTTCTGAGCTAGCTATACTGGGTATTAAAAATAAATTATACATCAAAATTCTAATATTCATAACAATACATATAGTGACTAATAATTAATAACTATTGCTTTCGATATTTAGTTTGATCAGATTTGTTCTAACCCTCTAAGTAAACTGTGTACCTACTAAAAATAAAATAATATTATTCAAATAATAATAATAATATTAATAATCATCGAATACGAGTTTCCTAAAATCAACTGTTGACTTTTTTTTTTCTTAAAATAAACGAATACGTTTTTGGACCCGACAAGTATTCGCATGTCGTTCCGAAATCTAAACTCAAACATTCCATTCCAAGATCGAAAACGTAATATTACTTTTGCATGATAAATTCTAGCCAATTCGGTTCAGCAGCCTTAGCTATAATGTAAAGAAAACATCAAACTGCACAAAATCAATAAGGTCCTTTGGGCAAACTGTGGATAGGGTTCTTCTCCTGTATCAAATGGCGCAAATCAACATCCAAAACGAGAACTAAGTTTGCTCGAACTGAAACGGACTAATCAACCTTACAATTAGTTCGTATCATTACCATAATTGTCGCTGAACTTCTATTAAATCTGTGCATGGTAGTTCAAATGCACGTGAAATGGATTCAGTATGTAGCGATAGCGGAATCGAAGATAGTTTATTCAGAATATACCAAAGAGAATTTATGTTTAGCAATCAAGCTTGCGTTTCTGTTCAGAGGATTGGAATCTCGTACGCGATAAGTAGCTTCATTTAAAATTATTTATTTTGGATTATAACTCAACAGTTCAAAACTTCAAATAATACCGAATATAATACAGGGTAAAATAATTTCAAATTCAAAGATCTAAGAATTTTCAAAGTCAATGTCAATATACGAGTAACCCTGCAAATATGGTATCTCGATAGGCATTGAATTAAATATACAGGGTGTCTGTAAAAGGTCTTTACAAAAACATACCACATATTCCTTAGACCAAAATAAGTCGATTTAAGTAAAATTACAAAGTTGCTTCGTTTGGGCTCCAGAGGGCCTTGAAGTTACAATTTTTAAATCGTTTTTCCCATATAAATTTAAAACGGCATATGTGATTTTGCTAAAATTTGGTGTATTGGTAGAGTTTTATGTGGCAAAAAAAATGGTATTAAAATTTTGTTCAATGTTAATACATGTTAATACTCTAGATAACCAAAAATGAACAAGACACCTATTTACAAGCATTGATGGCCTCAATAACGTCAAAGTTAAGAGACCTAGAAATTCGGAATAACCTAAACCGAAATCTCACTTATTTAAATACTTTTTAACATCCTATTCTGGACTAATTATGATTTGCAAAAAGGCTTTTATCAATATTCATGCAATCAAAATAGGAATAGTTCGACGTTTAACTAAGTTACTCGTCAAAGGAAAACAACCTTACGACAAAAGGGGCAAGTGTATTTCTAGAAATACAATTCCAGGAAATATAGTTGGTCAGATTGAGGACCATTTTAGGAACTTTCCTACAAGAATTACTATAGTAGCACAGAAAAATATTTCAACGAAAATATTAACGAGAAAATTATGTACGATTTATTTAATACAAAGTATCCCAATACCAAATTTTTTTAAAACCTCCATGACTTTTATTTTGAAATATTAAATTGGCAGGCAACTGAAAATGAAAACGATGGAAACAATGAATATTTTTTTATTTTGTAATATTCTTTGATGAATTTTAGAATATATAATAATAAAACTATATCTCTCTTTACTAAGTTTTTAAGTTCAGAAACATCACATGTCACTCATTTTTAATCAACCATGATTTGTTACCCTTTTATTTTTTTGCATAAATAATTTTTGTACTATACCCAAAATAGAGCAAGTTTTAAACACTAAGTAATCAAAACTAATTTTTATATTCATGTTTTGAGATTTTTACTTTTTCTTAGTTTTTGAAAAATGATCTACAACTGGCATGTGCTGTTTCTCAAATTACCGATTCATAATGGAGATAGAAGAAAATTATTTTCAGCCCTTTAACTTTGATTTTACTTACTTAGAAGGACGTCATTTCCGGAGCAGTTTCGTCCTTATTAAGCCTTGTTAAAAAGACATAAGGCACAAGGCAATTCTTGTTTCAACGTGATCGACAACTTTCATTCCATATAACAGTGTATAAAAAAAATAATAAACAGACAAAACTAAAGCTATTTATTCTCTCCTCAGAAATTAAATCAAGACTGGTGAAAGACTGACTAGAAACCCTAGCAGTGCCAAGTAGTCAAAACAAAGTGACCCTAGCCTGGGTGTCAGGTCACGAGGGATATCAGAGCAATGAAAAGGCTGACGAACTAACCTGAGAAAGCTTAGAAGGCCAAGACAGGCGATAGGAGTAAGTAAAGATGTCGTTCATAAAGTGCTTAGAGAACAATTGCTATATCCATACCATAAAAAGCCAGTACAAGAATTATTAGTCCATGATCCTCAAATTCGTTTGGGTTTTTGTCGATTTGTTAATATGCAAAGAGAAAGAAATCCAAACTTTGTCAAGAAGGTTCTCTTTACCGACTAAGCGGGTTTTACAAGAAGAGGTATAACTATTACCCATAATGAACATGTTTATGCCGTTGAAAATCCGCATGCAATAAAGGTAAACCATTTTCAGCATGAATTCAAAATTAATGTGTGGGCTGGAATAATTGGTAATTTCATTGTTGGTCCTGTCATACTTCCACGAAGATTAACTGGAGAAAATTATTTGGATTTTCTACAAAATACGTTGCCAGAATTGTTAGAAGATTTACTTCTCAAACTTCGGAGAGATATGTGGTTTATGCAAGATGGAGCTCCACCACATTTTTCTTTAAACGTTAGCAAACCACTTGAATGAACAATATCCACACAAATGGATAGGCAGAGGTAATGACGCACCTGCAGACTGGCCACCACGTTCACTAGACCTAACACCGATGGATTACTTTTTATGGGGATATCTGAAATCCACAGTTTAGAGGGAACCTGTAGAAAATGAGGAACAACTCTGGCAACGTATTCAAGATGCAATAAACAATCTTAGAGGTGATCATAAAACTCTACCAATATACCAAATTTCATTAAAATCGCATATTATTATGCTGTTTTAAATTTATATGGGAAAATCGATTTAAAAATTGTAACTTCAAGGCCCTCTGGAGCCCAAACGAAGCAACTTTGTACTAAGGTAATTTTACTTAAATCGACTTATTTTGGTCTAAGGAATATGTGGTATGTTTTTGTAAAGACCTTTTACATACACCCTGTATATTTTGGAGAATATTTTCATGGTAAAGTAAAAATTAAAATTCGATTTTCAGTAATTTATGACTCACCCTGTAACGATTAATTATTTACGTCATATGTTATACTGAAAATATTTGATATAAGTAAAATATTATGCTCAAAAAATATTTGTTATATCGCAGTAGTTTGTTAAGAGGCACACTTTAAAAAAAATAGCCAGTTTTTAACTTCAACGCCCTGTATATTAAAAACTATTAAGTAATACGATTGAGTTGGGCCTATGGACACTGTTGAACAAATTTCACCGAAATGCATTTTAAGCTTGGTATTTTATAAAAAAAATATTAAATACGGCCCATATAATCAAAAAGTATTTAGAATTATATGAATTATCGATAAAAACTCAAAGTTGATAAAAAAAGTCATGATTCCTATACCTACTTTTCTTATTGGATACAAAAAATTAAAAAAATGAAAAGAAAAGAACATTTTTACTATATAATTTCAAAAAAAATAATATTTTTCACTGCTTAGGGTGCTTAGGGCTCAAATCAAATATTTGTTTATCAAAATTAATTAAAATTTAAGAAAGGAACCTTAAAATATTGAAAAAAATTGAATAATTGAATATCCGGCCATAATAACGTTGTAACCAACCCAGTCGTAATTTGTGAAAAATGCAGAAAATTTCAAAATCGATTTTTATTTACATTTATATCTTTATTTATTTATCTAAAATTGCCACCAATACTAAACTAAACAATAGGTAAAAAATATCTGTATATTATTGTCATATACAACGTTGTTATGGCAGGCAGACATTTCAATTTTTACCTAAAGCTAAAATATATCAAATCAAATCGAGTAAATTTTGACAGAATATTAAAAATTACTCACCGTAATTAGTAAATAGAATATTAGATGCACTGATTTTCATATTTCCCACACAAAATAAGAAAAACTAGGATGTTTTTCTTCTAAAAAATGTTCTTAATAAATCACTGTGACACTAACTAACTAGAAATCTCGTGTACTGTCATTTGCAGCGTGAGCGTGGCTGACTTGATGATATAAAAACGCTTGCACAAAACACGGTTCGTAAACAACATGCACAAAAACTATTGGGATCAACGATTTGTATAGTTATATAGATTGATTATAGATACGAAAATTAAATGATAAGTAGCGGGTCGTGGTAGACGTTTTCTTTTTTTCTAATACATGTAATGTTTATATTTTGTTTCAATTGTGTGCGCTTCACGGAACCGGTTAAGAAGGAAGTCTACTTGATATTTTGTTGTCAGTCGAACAAAATTTCTTATGCCGCGGTTAGATATTTGACAAATAGGTCGCTGTTAGATATTTGACAAGTAGGCAGTGATCCGATATTTGACGAGGATGGAGGGTGAAATTGCAAGTACATGTAATGTTTAAACGTGTAACGCATGTAGCCATGGTAATTTCACGAAATTAACAGAACATTGATCTTGAGAGTTTATAAATGATTTTCCTGTTTGAAAGGTACAAGGTGCGGAGCTAAGTAAATTGGAGTGGAGTGGAGTGGAGACGGAGCAGAGGGGACGAAATAAAATAGAATGGAGTGTGGTAAAGTGGGTGAAGTAGAATGAGAGGAGTAGAGAGGGTGGAGTAGAGTTGAGTGGGGTAGAGTGGTGAGAGGTGAAGTAGACTGGAGCGAAATAGAGTGGAGTGGGGTAGAGTGGGCAGTGGTAGTGGGGTAGAGTGGGCAGTGGTAGTGAGGTAGAGTGAGGGTGGTAGTGAGGTAGAGTGGGGGGGTAGCAGATATTCTTGCATTTAAAGGGACCTGAGCCGTTCTGCGGTATCAGCGGTAAAGAAATAGTAGGACATGTTAAAAAAGAATTGGGCACTAGAAGAACCGATAATTGGAACAATTTATTTGGACTTAGACAAAATAAGAAACTTCTGAGTAATTATAACCTGAAAAGATTGTAAGCCTGTATCTGTCTGAGCAAGGACAGGCTAAGAATTGTAACAGGGGTTCTTACCGGGCATTACCGACTCAAAGAACACCCTAGTAAATTGAGAGTAGTAGAAGATAGTAAAGGCAGATTCTGTGAGGAACAGAACAAAACATCCATTCATATTCTGACGGTATGTGTAGCACACCCGAGTTTAAGGGCACTATACCTATGAGCATAACAAATAGAAGAGGTAGATTTAGCTCACTTGAAACCACTCCAAATTCTACACTTCCTTGGGAACATAGGATTGAAAGGGACGTTACAGGCATCATTTCCTTGCTGCATTAGCAATAGAAGGAAACACAATAAATCTTTTACGTCACAGTATATTACCACCTTATTCGCAAAAAAATAACAAAGGATAGCAGTAGGTTTTCTTACAGGACGAAGAACGCATATGAGGATCATATATAGGGTGTCCCATAATGTTTTGCTGTTTTTCAAATGAAATAAAATAATTGCTTTTACCTAAAACATTAAATTTATTGTGAAAATGTTAATAATAAACGCGGATTTTAATTTAATAAAAATAATGTACTCCAGATGTCTTTCTTCCTGTGTCGTGCATTCTTTCAGCATGGACCTTAAATTGTAATAAACAGCTCATATTATTTTCTCTGAAATAGCGTTTCAGCCTGAATTAGTAATTTGAAGGTCCAAAGAGTGTGTGGTGGTGTTTCGTACACCGTGGTCTTTAGATAGCCCTACAAAAGAAAACAAGGTAGTAAGATCAGGACTTTTTGGGGGTCAACGTATGTCACCCCACTCTGAAAAAATATCTAGTAGCGTTGCTAAAGATCTTCTAGTGGTTTGGGGGTGTGGAATCATGCTGAAACTAGGGATTTTTACTAAATAACCCGCAACCTTCCTCGTCCTGGCAAATACAGAGTTTTGGCGCTTATATTTTACGTTGCCAAATTAGCGCTCTCTGAAAACAACAAAACATTATCAGACACACTTTAATAAGCAGAAGAAGCAACATTGTGAAAAAGAAAAGGAAATATCAATCTACGTCCTGTGCCTGTGTGGGGCCTTGCTATATTGAGGTTACTAAGGTTAGGCGACGAAAAGCCAGTCGCATAGAACTACATATGGGAACCACTGTCAAAGCAACTAATTCTAATAAAGAAGGCCAAGCTAGATGACAAACTCTAAATAACGAAATCGCACAACAGCTCTGAAAGGGTCGTGGTGAAAAAGGACAAATAATGTCTAACTCCTCTCAAATCTAATATATCTGGTCATCCTTAATAAGAATAAATGTGATTAACTTTCAAAAGTATTTTAAAATCATTTGAATTGCTAAACAATGAGTTTACTGTTCAGTTCCACAGTAAAGAACTTTTGATTTGAAAAAAAAAAAACCTTTTCTTACTTCAACAAAATGTTATAATTTAATTAATAAGCTACTTTCCTCACATCGTCTTTACACGCTTATCAAAAATTCACAAACCCCACATATATTTATTAGACCAATAGTGAGTTTCACCAATTTTCTTATATCTAAACTTTTTTCTATTTTTAAACTCATCAATTTTCCTAATATTATCTACATTAAAAATTACGTAATCATATTAGCTAAAAAGATTTCAATTACTTTTGTCACAGCAAATTTGAAGCTGTCACAGGCAAATATATAGCATAAAAGAACCGAAAAGTCATTTGAATTTGAAGGACATATCGAAAGCCTATTAAAAGCATTAGGACCATAAATTTTCTGGTTTATAAAGATTTGGAGTTACTTAAGCTAGAGGGTCTTAACGTTGTTATGGTTTCTACTAACAATTTTATGTCGCCTTTTTATTAACTTTACAAATTGTTTAAAAAATGTATGTAAAAATATTTATTCCTTGTTTCCTAACCCTACCCACGCAAAAACATAGTTTTAGTTTTATAGTTGACATCAGAGATAACAGTAAATGTAAATTCTAACAAATATTGTGCGGCCCTATATAAGATATATTCTAAGGGTCACAGGAGGGTATATTAGCCGCTGTTGTCATGTGCTTATTTCATTATTCTCGTTTTGTTTACAAAATTATTTACATATTGTGACGATAGTCTCATTTATTTATAGTTTATTTATTTAAAACACACTATTTACAATTTATTTATGACGTACTAATTAATTTATATAATACTTAGGCACTAACTCACAATTCTAATTTATTTATTACAATTTAACTTTTCAGTCCATTACTTTATACTAAACTAAACTGTCCGCCGATGAGCCGGGCTATTTATACCAAGTCCAACTCTGCTTCGAAAAGTCTCTAGATGTTCCCAAAAATTCCATCTCTGACTTAACGGCACGCTCCACCCGTTCTAGCCGTTTCTCAAACGTCAGCGGCATACCTAGAAGATTCCTTCGTTTCGAGCATGAGTCGGGTGCCACAGACTTAAAAGTCGCTTGCTTAGACAGAGATAATATATTAAAAAACTAAAATAATTTAACCTATTTTATTGCAACTAAACCCAAAAAATTTTGAATCACTAGTTATTTCCAATTTAATTAAATTAAATATAATTTCTCTAAATTAAATGTAATAATACATCAACAAATTTCGAAACCTAGTAATGTTAAGTTGAAACTGGCAAGAGGGCTTTTTTTTCTCTCCTGGGCTCGTCTGACTATGTGTCTCCGAATAACAGTGAAGCCTATTGGCTTATTGTGTTTTACCCCATGTTAGTTCATAGCACCCACTCTATCACCTTTGTACCTTGTACAAGTTTGTACAGATCCTTGGGTGAGTGGGTTCTATACGTTGTTGGATCAACCTGGGGTTGTCCAAAAAGGGCCTGTCTTTTGCGATCTAGAGCTTCGCATTCGCACAGTATGTGTTTGGCCGTTTCTGGTTTCTTGTGACATAGTCGGCACATGAGTTCCCCATTGTACATGTCAATTTTGTTCAAGTGTCCCTTTACTGGGGCGTGCCCAGTCATGAACCCTGTTATCACTTTCAACTGGTTCCTATTCATTAAGAGTAGTTCTCCAGTTTTTTTGGGACATGGTCTGTCTATGAAGGCTTTTCCATGTGCCTGTTTTGGGGTGCTTCCCCAATAGTTGATATGTTGTTCCCGAATCCAGTCATTTATAAAACCCCGGACTGTACTTTTTAGTACTCCTGGGTTTGCGTCTGGTTCCGGTGTTTCTTCTGACCCTCTTTTTGCAAGTTCGTCAGCCTTTTCGTTGCCTTCGATCCCTTTGTGACCTGGCACCCAAAATAGTTTTACTCTATTTCGGTCTGCCAGTGTTCTTAGTTCTTCGATACATTCACATACCAGCCTCGACGTAACTTTCTGACTCGATATGGCCCTAAGTGCCGCTTGGCTGTCTGACATTATTTGAATATGCTGATTTTCGACAGCTCTTTCATTGTTCGTTTTTGCACATTGCAAAATTGCGTATACCTCGGCCTGAAATACCGAGGAATGTATTCCTATAGCATAGCTACGGTTAGTATCATGGTTTTTGGAGAATACTCCTGCCCCAGTGCCTTCCGTAGTCTTAGACCCGTCTGTATACCAGGTTTGTTCCTGTCGTTGTGCATTGGGCTCCCTTATGGTGATCTCCGCTCTTTCCTGTATTAAAACCTCAAAGGGAGTATTAAAAGAGTACCTCTTGGTTAAGTGGTCTGATCTCATGTCTAGCACGTCTCCTGTCACTAACTTTGAGATACTCATGTGACCTGGCCTAATGTCAAGATTTCCCAGTGTATTCCCTAATCTATAGGCACCTAATCTTGCCTCCCCTTGTATCACATAGTGAAGAGGTGGGAGTCCTATTATTTTGAATCACTAGTTATTTCCAATTTAATTAAATTAGATATAATTTCTCTAAATTAGATGTAATAATACATCAACAAATTTCGAAACCTAGTAATGTTAAGTTGAAACTGGCAACAGGGCTTATACCGGCATGGATATCTACGTAAGCTTACACATTTATTCATTGATAAAAAAAATTTGTTATCAGCGTAAAATCTTTCTCTTCATCCCCTCTCTTACTTCTCACCTT